CTCTTGTTTTCCAAGTTCACAGAAGTTCAGAAGGGCATGTCTCTTCACAAAAGAATTCAGTCTCGCAATCTTGATCATTTTTCCCTATTTTCTTAAATAGCTGTCTCACAGCTATCTCAATGCACCAAACAACTCTCTAACAGGACTTAGTGTCACAAGACTGGAATTGTACAGATATTCCGTCGAGTGATCGTCATGGATGAAAAGGCGTCTCTTTCTCAAGAAATACTGTTTTAGCATCCTAATATAAAATTACTATCATGACTTCCCCAAAATGTCCCTGAGCTGTGTTACATTTCCAGCCTTTATCCCACATATGCATAAATCAGTATTTTACACATGGGTGTGCCCCACTGGTGAAATAATAACAGACCTATTCGGAACTTTGTTTTGGATTGTTTTCATTACTTCTCAGTAAATCCAGCTCTAATGTAGAGCTTTAGTTTCTGGATTGAGAGAGTTTTTTGTTTACCTCCTAAATACCACTGCCCCTGTTTAAAGACAGAAACATAAATTTAAAAGTTTGAGACTTTCCTAGGCTTTTGTGGTTTTATAGTAAATTCAGTATTTTCAAAATAAACCTACCTTGAAACGAATAGTTTATATATTAAGCTCTTGTCTTCAAATATGGACAGACAGAGGGAGCCTTTTTTTTTTTTTTTTTTTACCAGTTTGTTGACTTAAAGAACAAGCAATAATGAGTGTTATTCACAAGGAGGAAATTAAGGCATTCATTTAGTTAAGTACAAGAACAAAATTATTATTTACCATCCTCTTATAACTGCTACAATTATAATCAGATTCTGTGGGAAACACTATTTATTTAGGGTGGCCATATCTGAATTTCTCTAATTGTCATGTTTAATTTCCATGATCTCATAGTGTAATAATTCTACATTTAGATGATTGTTTTAACTCATACAAGTAAAATAGGAAAGAGCTTTTGTGTGTAATGCACTGTGGTGCATATGTTTGAAATATTGGAGTGAACAAGTGTCACCAGTAGGAGTGTGAAAACAGTAGATGATGTTATATCTATTGAGAATACGTCTATACATGGCTTAAAGTGCTTTGAGACACTCAAGGTAATGTAACCCTGTGAGGCGATGCCACAGTTTCAAGGTATTAAACACAGACCTAATTACTTTTACTTGAAAATGAAAAACAACCTTTATACAAACTGTTGCAGAATAAATAATAATTCAATCAATGTTTATAATGGCTAATATAAGGTTAACTTGGGATGAACTGTTATTCATTATTTTTAATTCTTAACCCTCTCAGGCTCAAATTACTTGAAAAGACTGGCTAAGTTGTTGCAAATCTGCAACATCTGCCTGGAGAGGATTAGTAGTGGTTTTTCAATTGCTAATTAAACAAAATATTGCATATTTATGCTGTTTCTGCTTCTTATAGAGTGATAGTGGAAGTATACCAAGTTGATAGTTGATAAATGATTTGGGCTTTACAGCTTTTATAGTGTTCCAAATATAGTTTTAACAGTGTTGTACTGGGTGGTAATTGTTTGGTTGATAGACCACATCAAATTATTTCAAACAACCAAATTAGTTTTTCTTTAGGGCAAGGGAAATGCTGATGTGGCCTTATTTTAGGCAGCTGGTTTTCAGTGTTCAGCAGTGAGATGGGGAGGGACTCCAGTCACAGTTTGTGTCTAAAACCGTGAGATACCTTTGCTAAAACATTGATGGCAAACTTACTGTGTGAATGGATAGAGATGTATCCATTTATTTCGTTGTGCTCTTATTTTTATGATTTTGGTGTTTCTGTCCATTGGTACATGAAAATGTAACTTAACATTTGTCATCATCAGTAACTCATTATTATGGTATGTCAAATAATTTCATCTGGACAGAAAATGGTTGTCACAGCAAATGGAGTGCACAGGTTTAGTAAAACGTGCTCCACAGATTTAACCAGACACTTGCTGAACTTTTAAAAGATGTTAAATAATGAACAACTCAAACCATGATCAAATCATGTTCAGCAACAATCTTCTAGCACAAGCGCTACAAAATGAATTCATTTCTTTTAATGACTTCTGTGAAATCACACAACCCAATCTAATACTATAATTCCCTATTAGGCAGCCTTACTCCAGTAGTCGCTGTATTTGCATTGTAACAGTATGAGGAAATGCATCAGGGTATTAAATGTATTTAACTAACAATGTGTGACAGGATGAAGCATGTCTGCTTAGCTCAATCTGTGATTCTATTTAAGGGATTTGCATGCAATCAGAATAATTCATTTCCTGCTCTGCCACAACATATTGCTGCGGGTGCCATGTTGGAAACAGCTGATGAGAGTTAAGTTGAGTCTCTCTGCTCCCCATTAGGTGACCTAGTGTAGTGAGAAAATTATTTTAGAGGTGACTCATCTCTGTTGGGATTTGTTTGTTGAAAGATCTATTGCTGTACACTGTAAACATAGATTGCTTGGGAGCGCTGTCATCTTTTTAACACATCTTCCCTTGAGTAAACATTTTTCATGAGATTTAGTGCAACAGAGGACACATTAATGATGTGTACATTAGTGCATTCTCATGTAGGTGCTGTGGAAAAGTATTTGCCTCTACAAATTTCTTCAGTTTTCTTTAGTATCATTATTATTATAAATTTTTATTTATTTTATGTTTTGCTTTTTTTGTCTCCTGTAGATGAATTTTAAAATTAGACAAAGATAACCTGAGTAAAACAAACAAACAAACAAAAAAAAAACTTATGAAATGTTGGCCCCATTTATTAGGAGGAAAAGCTACATCAACTAACATGATGTAAAATGTAATATAATAATTCATGATTTAATATGCCACAATATCAAATCACGAATCAACCACGATTTATATTTTGAGAAGGCTTTGAAGAAATATGGTAATCTTTAATTTAGAAAATTATGCTTATTGCTGAGTTTTGTTTAGGGTTTTTTGTTTCTTCTTTGGTTTCCTGGTTGAATAAGTTGCTTTGTTTTCAATTTACATTTGTTTATTTTGGGGACTGAATTGCTTAATGGTAATCCTATGGTAACTGTACCACCATTGCTTGTTTGCTTAGTTATATAAAAATCCAGTAACTATATTGCTAATAAAATACTTCAAATAGTTGTACCTGTCATGAGTGACAAGCTAGATTCAGGGAAGCAATTACTTTTTTAAACGGGAGAAAGTCAGAAAGCTTCGGAGAGCTGTTTTCTGTCAAAAAATTTAATCATTATTAAAAAAAAATGCATTTCATATTACTCAGGTTATCTGACAATAATTAAACACAGAGACATTAAAAGTCTGTAAGGATTTAAATATGTTTTTAGAGCACTCTAACACTGTATGAGTGACTGTGTTTCGTGCTAGTCAGGGGCAGGGCCTGCCCTGTGGACACATGCTCAAATAGACCTCAGGTTATTGCAACACTCGTGGGCGTGAAGCTCAATGTGTAGGTTAGGCTTTGGTACAGCATCTTGTGCCTCCTCTCTTTATTGAGAAAGGGGCGAAAATGTTGGAACGGTGTCGCTCCTCCACACAGGCTCGTGTGTGACCAACAGAATGACAGGTATGCGTCTGTTTAAAGTAGACTTTATCATCCTCATTGGCTTATGGGGCTTTCACCGGGTAATCATTGATGGAGTGATTGTGTGTACAGCTGAAACTGTTTCAAGTCTCAGCATTCCTTTTGTTTTCGGGTGTGTCAGGCATAGGTAGTTTTTTGCTTGTTTGCTTGTATTTTTTACTAGCAATTTCACCATGTGCTTTGAGAAATGATCATCCTCCTGAGAAGAATTTTGTGTAGGTTTGTTGCTCACAAAAAGCTACAGTAATTTGTGGCCTGCTGCTTTTTTCAGGGCTTCCTTGCTTTCTGTTTGAAAGTGCTCAGCATAGGATTGCCTAGATTGTTTCAGTTTTTTAGTGTTTTGCCTGAAAACGATACTCCTCGGAATGTTCCTTTTGTGAATTTGTTTAGTTTCTGGTTAAAACAGGGTAAAGTTCAACCTGGTGAACTTGTTTGGGACTAAAGTTGTTCGTTTTATCAGGGGAATCAATATATTGTTTTGCAAGGAGACATTATGTGCTGTAGGTCTTTAGGGAGGCTGTTGTAGCCATTGATAGTAAGTACAATATTTTTCCCAACTATTCTTTTGATTGCACATAATTCTGATTAGACAGTCTTAAAAGCATCTGTGTCTTAAACACAGTCAAATTCTTGTTTTTAAACAGCCTATTTCCTTGTTTTCTCAATTTAACCACATTCCTTAATACACCCCTATAGTTTAGGGTGTTTAATGTTTGAGGCTTAGTATACTCGAAGATCTTCTCGGCCATGTAAGGTTAAAGTAAACTTAACAGTCAGCCAAAGAGACTGGTACAACTAAATATAGCACAATTAAATGCCAAAAATCTTTCTGAAAAAGTTAAAAAATGGGATATGTAACACCTGATATTGTCATCAAGATATTTAACCATATTTTTATGTTCAGTCTTAGCGCAGTTGCCATTTTAGAAAAGTAATCAGAGTTTAAGTTTCTAACCAACCCGTTCAGAAGTGACAGAGCTAAAAATCATTCACTTCTGATCCACAGCCAATTTCTCAGAGTGTCTTCACTTAAATGCAGTAATATTTTGGTTCTTATGTTTAAAATGCTGTGCATTTTTCCTTTGTAGTAACCAGTAACATATTTAACTAGTTAGACCTCACTGGATAAAGATTAGATGTGGGAGAAACTGCTTAAATATTTGGAAATTTTATTTGAGACATTACAGATGTTTTATTTTTGGGATTACTTGAAAATGTCACATTTCCAACAATAATTTTAAAAAACCCCACTTGACTCACTGAACGTTAACTGCCCAGATCTTTTGTCATCTCTACTTCAGATACATCACAACTGATTTGTTGCAGAATCTAAAATTTTGTTGTAGAGAAGCTATTTTTTTAGCAGCACTGGTAGAAATATTAACTTTTTCATATTTTAAAATAAGAATCACTTTAACAACAATGTTTAGATAAAAATATATTTATGGAGTTTCCCTCTTCAAGTTGCAATTATAAAACTGATTCCTAGCATAAATTTCTCCATGAACTTTTCAGCTGTATGTGTGCAATTTGTTTTGAACAGGCATGTTTTTATGTGCTGAAAGTCGGTCTTTCAGTGTCAGTCATGGTCTTTAAGACAAATCTTCCACGTTGAAAGATAATAGGAGGAATTGATTTAACTTGGAGAACTGTACAACTTCAGCTGACAGAGCCTCATTTCTTTGACAGAGACATACAGAAGACAAAAGGTGAGTTTATGAATGGATAGTTTAAAAATCCATCTAGTTTTCCTTTTCAGACTTCTAAAAGTAACATCTTCTTAGAATTGGAAGTATTTCTGCCATTAACTTCATTGTCGAACCACTGTATATGTTTGTAAACTTCTGTACTTGCAACAGTCTTCAGTCTGTAAACCAGTACGAGCTACTTTGCTTTTGAAGTAAAAATCCTGAACTAAATGTTTCTCCTCACAGAAGTGACTCATATTTCTGTGCTATCTAGAATCCCCTGTAATAGATATGGCTTTGAGCCCTCTCTCGGTACCTCTCCACAGGCTTTGCACACCTGAGTGTGAGCAGTTTATCCCGTACTTTGCAGACCTCAGGATGACAGTCTGAATTACAAGTGTCAGTGGGCCGCCATCTTCACTTCTCCCACGTATACTCTTTTATGCAAAAGTGTGGACTTTGGTTAAACCATTTAAAGAAAACTGGTATAGCCTAATCTCACTGTGGTTTTTGCTTCTTGCTATCAGAAAGGTTATAATTGATAGGAGCATATTTGACAAAAACTGCTTACAAATTGTCTTGTTGCTCTTTGTTTGCCTACCCATCAACTAGTATTTCATATATATAAAACCTCAAATCCATTGGCATATATTTACGTATGTAACTGCTTCTTACAGGTTCTTACTGCTTATTGTTTTGGGATAAGGAGTCTTATTGGAGTCTTTGTGTTCAACAGGTGCATAGAGCATACAAAATGTGCTGTTCTTGTCTAAGTTGTGAAAGTATTTCTTTTAAAACCAGATGTGTTGGAAGGTAAATTCTGATGTAAAAAAATATTAAGTAGTACTTTGTGCATAATGTTTAAGGATGCTGCATCTGTAATCTAATAGTAAATCTCATTTATGTCTACATAAAAAAAGTGATTTCAAGTTTATGCAGTTGTAATGTAGCGCATAATCATTTTTCTTGTTTGATGTTATCCCAAATCTGCTTTCTGTTCTGTATTTTTTTTCTCCCCTTCTCTTTATCTTCTGTCTTTCTGCATTACACTTAATATAAACATGACCATGTAGTATAACTCCTCCTGTAAACATGGTGCCCGCTGGTCAGGATGCAGGCATGTGTATTAAATACAGCATCAAATTAAAGCTTCTTGCCTTGAGTCATTATTTTTTTTAGCTTTATGTATAACCATAATGTCTTACAATAACTGAGTCAACCTTGAACTCTTCTGTATAAATGTTTTCCAGCAATAGATGTAGAACCATTTGTAACACTTTTGGGCTATGCAACTAACTGCGGCTACAAGAGCAGCATCAGGAGAGTGTTCTTTTAAGGAGTCTACGACAGCACAATGAGACGCCATATAAGTGACTCAGATTATCTTAATTCCAGAATCATAAGTCCATAGTCCTTTTACTTAGCTCGCCATCATCAGATCCAGGTGAGGGTCTGATCCATCCAGAAAAGAAAACCTGACCTAAAAGATCAGAAAACCCAAAGTGTTTTATCAAAACCAACAATTACGTACAAACTTAAAGGAAATAATGATTAACGTTAGAAATTTAATTTAATTTAATAATTAGATTCTAATAGTTCAAAACATTTCAATAATCAGGTTAAATTAACCATAATTTAAATAAAATAAAACAAAAAGAGCATCAATCATATGTCAAGCTAATCAATAAAAAAAAAGCGCACTTCCAAAATATCAATTAAAAAAAAATTGTCAAATATTCAAGCAAAGTGAGAGGAAAGGAAAAATATAAAAATAAATATACTGCACACTAGCAAACCCAAATGTAGCTACACTCTCAATTTTAAACTTCATGGTCAATTTTAAACTTCTCAGCATAACTTGTCAAAACACAAACACAATGCAACAAGTTACCTTCTCAAGAGAGTGGGGTGTACTTGGCCACAATCTCATGAACTCATCAAGCAATCAACTCAATGGAGTCAAAGATTTGGGTGCGTTTGTGAAGAACGACGCCAACAGCCAGCCATAGTCACAGTGGAACAGGTGAGAAAGTTTTAAACTGCGTGCTGGAGGTGAGGTTTAAATAAGCTGACAGAGTTTGGGGCAATACAGAAAGTGGGCCCGCAAAAATAAAAGTCCATGACTAATTGCAGGTTACACATTCAATAACTGAGACTTGGCATGAAAATGGTCATGGATGTAAGTTTGAAAATCTGAGCCAAAATGTAAACTAGAATGACTAAAAATATGCTGCAGTGCAAATTATCTTTCCCCCAAACTGCACAGTTACAGATTTTTAAAGAGTTCTGATAATAAAAAAAACTCACAAAACTCAATGAAATTAAGCAACATTGAAAAAGAAGAGTCAGCCAGAATTCCTCAGTACCACAATAGAAGCTTGATTAGGTAATTCAGAAGGTTTCTCATCTTATTGCTGGCAAAGAGGGTTTTTCATGCTGTCACATTATAAGGTATTCAGACTTTTCACTACTGCTTATGCAGTTAGGCTATAGTTTTAATAAATGACTCTATTATAGCAGTTCAGATGCTTCTGATGATATAACTTCAATGTTTTTAGAGCCAAAGTGGTTTGGATTATAACATGTAACACAGTGTACTTTCAGTTTACCTTGACTGTACTTTCACCTTGAAAAACTGAAAGAGAGCAGTTTTTCACGCTTTGGAACAATAAATCTGTCATTCACCTAAGCGTTCGGCGCTGGCTGAGATTCGCCTGGGGTGAAATGTGCACACTGACCTGGTTCGTGTTGCAATAGCTCTGTTTTGGTATTGTTTTGGTAAACTCGTTCCCTCCTTTTCTCCTTAAAGGTAATGTTTCATGTTTGCATGTGCATGCAAACATGACCTGGAGTACAATTTATGTTTTATGCCAAAGTGCTCTGTGAAAACATTGATGCAAGACAGTTGGAACATAATCATTTGTTGTTAAATGTGAGTGTCTGTGGGAGAATTTAGACTTTCAAAGCTCCATGTTTCACACTGATTTTAGCAAGATTTTACATGTTCTGGAAATGGTTTTATACTGGTATACTTCTTTTTCTCTTGCTGACATCTGCTACATTTCTTCTAGATTGCAAGACAGTTTTGTAGAAGAAGTGGTTGTATAAGGAGCTCATGGGAGTGGCCAAGTCTGAGGTCAGCACATCAGATCATGTGATTCAGCTAGTTAGGGTGGGGTCAGACTAAGACTTTTCTTAGGAGATTTGAGAGACAGAGGATTATTTTACTATAAAAGGGGAGATTTAAATCTGACTACAAATAGTATCTGTGAACTTGATGCGTATCATACCTCATTGACTGAAGATACAAATATGTCACTGAATAAAAATTAGCTGATCATTTTCAGTTGTCTTCGCCCTTAGTGTTAGTTTGTTGCTTCGTTAGAAGAAGTAACTGTGATGTTTTGACCAGAATGAGGTGATGTTTACTCTGGGAAATGCACACTGTGATCCCGAGACATTAATCTAATGACATCCTTGAAACCTGAACAGACTGAGCTTACTTCCGCAGTTCCTCTCAAGTTTACTGTGTGAACTGTGGAAGTGTTTTCAGTAAGATTTTGTCCCTTCTGTGTTAGAGGTGAACTGCGAAGAAAAATGTTGCAGAACAAGTGTGCTGGGTCTGTGAGACTCTGGTTGTCTGGCAGTCAAATTTTTGTTTTCATTTCCATTTTTAAAACTAAATGGAAATGAAAATGAAGAGGTTGAAACTCAGGGGCTACAATTATTGAAATTCTGATAAAATCAGAAATATTAGAAAAAGAAAGTCACACTTTCTTTTTCTTTGCATAATAGTGGCTTCTGGATATATCCACTCTAAAATCTTTTTGTTTTGTTCTATTTGTATTTAATCTTCATGTATTTGGAGAGTGTCCTGATTTTTAAGTCCAACTTTAGACTAAATATTTGTAGAATTGTATGTCATTTTCTTTTGTTTGGTATATATCTCATGTCACAGAAAGGTCATGACTGGTAACAGTTATTTCTGGTGATGTAAATAATATTAGCCATGACTGTGCTTATCCACCACTAACCATGGGCGCTTAGGATATGTTAACAGTATTATTATGAAGATTTAAAACAAGAACACACAACATAATCCAAGTGATTCCATGTAAAGCTACAATTTCACAAAAGTGCTAAGATAACATAATAGCTATACTTTCTACTTACTGTTATTCTGTCTTTGAGCAGCTAAAACAGTCAATTAGAATGACATCTAAAAGTTTAATTATTTCAGTAATTAAATGAAAAAAAATGTTTTTTTCATTTGAGATATTTAAAGTATATATCTAATAGGGGTGCACCCATTTCCATAATTTTGGGAGATCGGTGATCGGCCAATTTTCACATGTGAAGCCGATCTTATCCACCGATGTTATCAATCTCAGCAAAGGTCTAAAAATCAAGCATTGTGCTTTTTTGTCTCACTTGAGAAAGGTATCACTGACAAACCAGCCTTCCAGGTCATGTCTGCACATTTACAATTGACAATAGTTCCCCCATTGTTGCCAATTAAGCAAGCTTCTTGATATATTGGGCAACATTTTAGACAAAAAGCTGGTATCGGCCAAAATTAGAATTGGTAAGTTAGGCTTTTTAAAAGATCGGTAATCGAGCAGAAAACAGCAATTGTTGCACACCTAATATCTAATCTTCTTGTGGGAAATAATTTTTGTGTTTTGTTGATACTTTTAAGTCTTGTGGCTGACCGGTCGATTAAACCATACTTAATCACTGATTAACTCCCTTGACCCATGAATTGAGATTGCCCATACACAAGTCACAATGCAGAAGTCAGGGGAGAAACAGAGGTAGTTGGACCTCTGCCCCCTTACAGCATTGGACCTTTCACAAAACACATGGAGCCATCGAAAAGGAGACTTCATCCTGTCTTGAAGTGTTTGGTGAAAGTGATTTTTTTTGTCTATCTATTTGACTCAAGAAAAAAAAATTGTCCACCTTAACTAAGCTGTCTTTATTCTTGGTCAGCCCTATCTGTTGTTTCTCCTTGCTTACTTTTCTGGAAATGAATTACTATGTCTGTTGGGTCAAAAGCTGCTGTGGAAGTGGGAAAATTCTGGGTGCCGCAAAACTATAAATGAACAAAATGATCTGGAATACTAGGGCTGTTGTAAATTAATATTTTAGTAATCGAGTAATCTATCGATTATTCTTATGATTCATTGAGTAATCAGATAAAACATTGAATAAAATATTGATAAATTTGGCATAAGACCGGTGTTACTGGATATCAATATCAGACCAATTTTTCATTTTTGTGCATCCCAAACAGTTACTTTTCTGTAGTTTAGAAAACTAACCTGTAACAATAATAGGTCACTTTCTAAGTTAACTTGAAGATAAATTATATAAAAATATGAAATTATATTAATTTAATAATACAGAGGCAAGCTCACAAATACGCCTATAAAAAACTGTCTATGCTCCAGATTTTAGTTTATGTATTCATCTTCATTCAGTTTAATAGATGAATTCTCACCTTGCCCCATTCGGGAAATGTCGCCTGGAGTGGAGGACTTGAGCAGTGACGTGCGGTCAGGGAAGGTCATCGTGGAGAAATAATATATAATGATAAAATCATTTATATTGCTATTTTTACCCTGTGGTTTGTACTATAAAGTGCCTATGTTTAATTTACCTTGACCAATTCAGATTTTTTTTTTTTTTCAAAATTGCTTAATTTTCTCATTTTCCCATTCAAATGCTCGAAAGCGAAGCCAGTGAGGCAGCAGCGAGCTGAGCCTCACCTTCGATTGCACAACCTCTTGCTAACTGCACTTGGCTGCCATTCTATGAGAGCATGCTCCTCCTGTCTATATCTCGCTAATAAAAAGGCTAAAAAACATTTAATGTATGAACTGATTTTTCATAATTTAGCGTATGTACATAATGTACAACATTTTTTGTCACCAACTGTGTGTGTAACGTGTTTCGTGTACTGAGGAGCGATCATAAATGGCAGAGAACAGATTCAAGGTGAGGCAGGCAGTTCTCGTGCATTATGACAGGGGGCGCTCATGATCCCAGACATTGTGACTCCGCAACTGCAGAGTAAGAGACAATAACAGCAATCTAGCCATGCAGTAAAGTCAAGTCCAGCGATATACATATGGTTTTCTCCACT